AGAGAACCAGAGAGGGGGAGGCCTGTGTTTAAATTTCCCAAATGTCTGGTTGACTCTTCAATCACATTTGCATGAGACAAACTCAGGGCAGCCCAACTAAGGCTAAGAATTGAACCGAGATTTCACCTGCTGCCTACAGCATGGGAGAAGTTTTGCAGTTTGAGTTCAGCCTAGTTAATTACAGTAAATTAAGGGATTGGGGAAGTAATACTCTTTAGAGGAACATAACAGAACTCAGTTTTTGCAGTGTATCATTTACTATGTCTAGATAACAGGAAAATATGACCTGTACTCAGGAAAAAAATAAGAAATAGAAATCCAAAACCATCCACACTACCCAGATGTTGGAGTTAGCGGAAGAGGATTATACTCAAGGATGTAAAGGAAAATATGCTTATAATGAATGGATTATAAGAAATGTTACTAGAGAATTAGAAGCTTTATGATAAAAGGAACAAAATGGAAATTCTAGACTAGAAAAATATATCATCTGAAGTAAAATTCACTATATGGCCTTAATAGCAAATTAGAACAGAAGAAAGATCCAGTAAATTCAAAACAGATTAATAGAAATAAACCAGTAAAATAGATTAGTGACTTTCTGACTTTTTGGTGATGACCCAGAATACCAAGTAAACTTTTTATTGACTTTGCATACTCAGACATGTGTACACACACATAACTGGAACTGCCCATGATTAATGCTGATACTTAGTATTCTGTTTCATTAAAAAAACTGGTCACAAATTACTAAATTGATTTTTATCCCCCACAGATGGGCTGGGAACCACAGTTTCAGAAAAACCAGAATAAACTTAAAAGAGTGAAATGCTATTGATCATGTGTTAAGGTGGAACCCTTTGGCTAAGTGGAATCCGATAGTGGTAGCTGATCTATCTCTTAGCTTTCTTGAAAGACAGGTCAGTGCTGAGGATTGAGTCCTCCACCCAGAAGAGCGAGTGTCCTGTCCCCAGCCCAGTTTAGCAGAAAGTCGTGTTCTAGTCCTCAACACTTTGTAGGAAAGTAGGCCTGGAGTCGATGAAGGTACACCCAGCCAAGCAGTCCTGAAAACTGATGAGTTCTTTGCCTGAATCTTTGGAGATCGTGACTGGCTTTGTGCTCTCTGAACCAGCCCAATAATATCTTAACTCCCTTTTCTGCTAAGGGAGGAGCCAGTGCCTTTTAAGAAATTTATTTCCACAGCACCACACCTTCAGCTCATGCTAGAATTGCATAGTACTGTAGAAGGAAGGTGGGGGAAAAAAGTTTTCCCCTATCGCTACAGTAGAGGGGAGAGGGTATTGTTTTAATTAGACTTGATAGATTAGCTCACCAGATTTGTTACACACTATATATTAAGAAGGTAGATTAAAGAAATGTCTGGCAAGATGATAGTTCTTAAATATTTTAGCTTGAGAATTTTTGTTTTCTATATTAAAGCATATGCATAAGCTCAGTGTGCAAAAGCAAATAACACTGAGAGGGTCCATTCAGAGTTCCATGAAACAAGATGCTATTACTGTGTAAAAACCTCAGGAACAGGGAATTATGCTGATCGTGGTTATTTGCAATGATTATTCAGATATCTAGAGGGCTGGCCATTTGAAGAAAGAGTAAGACTGTCTCTGCCTTCAGGTGCTCCTGGAGTAGGCATATGTCCTTTTCCAGCCCCTGAATGCAAAATTCAGACAAATGGGTGAAATTTCAGAGAAGCATATTTAGTTTCAGTATATAAGGAAGAGTGTTTAACAGAGCCATTCACCCATATGGTATGTTGCCCTAGAAAGTAATTACTTCTAGATCATTAGATATTCCCAAGCAGAGGCTAAATGGCTATTTTTCAAGATTGTCAAAAAAAGCTTTCTGCATTAGCTAGGTCCAAAACCTTTCAAATTCTTTTTCTATTTGTGTGTTCCATGATCCAAAACAGCTTTCCCCCAAGTCATGAACTCTTGGTAAAGCCTTCAACTGCCCACCTACTCACCAGGTGTGTTCATTCTGCCACATAATTGGCTCCAATAATACAAATACAAATATGTATTGTTCTTTGACATTACACAACTTCTTCATGCCCATAGCCACTGGTGCAAAGTAGTGTTGAATTATAAAGCCAACACTAATGAATAATCAGTTACTCCTGGCTAGTAAATACACACCAGGATGGCTGTGTGTAATTTAATCAGCCTCTGAGGTCCCTCTGGATTGTAGAGAAACTCTGATTTAATGTAACCACATCCCCGCCCCCGCCTTTCCAGGATGATATATGTTTCTGAAGTGTTAAGCAATATGAATAGACATCTGTAGGGTTCTTCTTAGACACTTAATCCATTTCCTGTTTGCCCCAAGAATACTTGGCGGCAGCACTAGGGCTGCAGCGTTTACCCCAAGATGACTCGCGGATTACAGGCCTAACCTTACCCCCAATGTTTGTCATGAAATATCGCTTTTTAAAAAAATTATTATTATTTTTGCATTGCTCTAGTATATCAATAGTCTTTGGAAACAAATGACATCATTCTATTTATAGCATTCTGTTTTTAGCGGTGGTATTTCCGTTGACAAAATATAGTAAATCTCGATTGCTAAAAATGTCAAATCCTAGAAAACAGCATTCTTATGTGTGATGTTAAATCAGTGCTGGCAGTGAGCTGCACTTTTTTTTCTAAACTCGAAAAGGGTTGAGAGGCAGCATGAGGTGGCAGAATGGGTGCTGTGGTTGTCTGCTCAGTGCATTTGTACAGCCTCCCAAATGCCAAGCTCTGTGCTTGGCTCTAGGGGTTTAGACATAAGAAAGACTTGTTCCTGGCCTCAGTAAGCCCACAGGGGGCAGGAAAGAATGGTTAGATTTTGATACATGTTGAAATTATGCTCATTAAGCAGTTTGGCAATTAACTGGTCTTGTGAAGCTTGTGTTTAAGCCCAGTCACTTGCCCAGGCTTGTTAACCCTCACCTGTTGGAGAGTTGGGTCTCGTACCCTCCAAGACCTGGTCTTGACTACGGTTCACATTGGAAGCCACAGGTGGCAAAGGTGGAGAGTGTCACAGAGCCAAACAGTGGATGACTTCATCGTTCAAAATAATTAAGATCTCTTGCTGTTGATCCCGAGGTCAGGGCAGAGGCTAGACAAGCACACACTAACAAGGTCCCTTTTCTAAGAGTTGTCCCTGGATTTGTCTCATTACAGCAATGTTGTGGAGAAATGTGTCACTCATGCCTCCCGTACGGAGCGTGCTGTGCTTATCGATGAGGTATGCACCATGAACGACGGTCCCCACAGTGCCTTATACACCATGATGAAGGACCAGTATGCCAACTACGTGGTCCAGAAGATGATTGATGTGGCAGAGCCAGCCCAGCGGAAGATCGTCATGCATAAGGTAGGCCAGGTCAGGCAGATCTCAGTCAGAAAGTGTGCAAAGCCTTGGGTTCTTCACGCTTCTGAAATGCAGAGGAGAATGGACATCTTGGTGCCTTATGCAGAATTTGTCACTAGACAATGTCACATGCTGTGCTCCTTTTTCTTTTTATCTGGAGTGACCATTGTCCCATGTTTGCAACCTCTCCTCTATCAATAACTCACTGGTATGAAAGTCTTAAACCCAGTCTTTGACAGGGATTTTCCTCTCTGATCTTCGGGCCAGGCTTCTGCCCCTCTGTTCCTAGGAACTCAGCTTCTCAGTCCAACAAAGCGACCTGCTTGCCTTATTTCCATTTCTCCCTCCTCCCTGTTATTCATTCATCCCACCACCGTTTACTGAATGAGTGCCTGCCTGCCCAGTGCTGTGCCGGGCCTGGCACGTTGACCCGATGCCCACTCTGTGGCAGACACCAGCACGGAGGTGACTAAGACTGATCCCTGCCCACAGCGCACAGTGTGGGGAAGGGTGACGGAAAGCAGTGCTGAGAGCGCGTGCCCCGAGTCTGAGGGGAAGCTGCGCGGGAGGAGGAGAAGTCCAGGCTCAAGGGGAGTTAGACAGGAGAACGGATAGAAATCTGAAGTGGTAGGTGCTGTGGGTGAGGGCTGGCCCAGAAAGCACCTGGAGAGGCCCACGGCTTCAGGAACAGGTCCAGCCGGCCGCAGCCAGCCCCACAGAGACCACAGGGCCCAGGAGGCGAAACAAACCCACAGGCAGGCATGCTGCAGCTGTGTTGTGCTGCGAGCCTCGGGGTGCTTGTGACCTGAACCCTTGACCTTTGGGCTCTGAACTCACCCAGCCCTTCTCAGCGGAGAGGATGGTCATGGTCTGGCGATGACGAGCCACTTGCCCTCACTGAGAACACGGTTCGGTAATGAGAATCTTTGTTACGGACTCGAGTTCTGAGCCGGACGAGGCCCCTACCACCTCCAGTTCAAAGCAAAACAAAACATAACACTGCGTTGGTGTTGGCCATGGAGGTTGAAGGCTGGGGGAGTCCAGAGTCCTTATGTTGTGAATCTGTGGGGTGGAAGCTGGTGGGGGCAGAGGGAATGTTGGAGATATGCAGAAGTTTAAAGTGTGTCCCTTCATTTATTCATTCAACAAATGCTGTAGCAGTCACGTGCTTAATGAGTAAGCCCTGCTTTCAGCAGGGCTGCTGTGCTGGTGTACACGACAGTATATGCACAGGTAGTTACAGTGCTGCTGGGGAAATATTGGGCAGGGCTGTGTGAGAATGTGGTACGATGCCTCTAACGTGGGGTTCCCTAAGAGGGTGACATTTGAATAAATCTTTGCAGATCTTTCTAGGCCGAAGGAACCTGGTGTATGAAGGCTTGGAAGCACGAGACAGGACAGTGTATTTGAAGAAGTAAAGCAAGTTCATTAGGGCAGGATTGTGGTGGCAAAATCACTTTTATATTTCCAATAATTGTCCTGGCCGATGAATAAGCTGATGACTAATGTGGAGAACAGGAAGAAGTAGGAGATGAGGCAGTGAAGAGACTGGATGGCAGGCTGTTAAAATAGTTAAACCAAAAGATGGCAGCAGCTTTGGGATTGAAGAGAGGTGGATAGACTGGGGCTTAGCAGTTGGTTGATTGAGTGGAGAGAGGAGTCCCAAGAATCTGAAAAACGAAGAGTTTTCAGCTCTTCTCTGGTTCAGCTATACCCTTTTTATTTAGTGAGAAGAAACATTGGGAGTGAGCAGGTGATTAATTTTCACCTTATTAAGTCAGGTAAACAGTAGACTTCCACAATACTGTACACGCACATACATGTGGGTGGTTAGTTTCTTTGTCTGGAAGAGGAGAGGTGTAAAGGTTAAGTAAGTGGCTAGGCTCATCAGTCAGCCAGTCCTAGGGGAGCTACCAAAAGCTAGAGGGTTGGATTTCAAGTTCTAATGACAAAAACATTGGCCATGTACACAGTCCTCACTACAACTAAATATAAGTATAGCATTATTGCTTCCTTTTTTATAGATGAGTCTAGGTAGGTTGGGCAAATTGTCTAGGTTGCACAGCTCAGATTCAAGTCAATTAATACGTTTCCCACATAGGCTCCTGGGTGGGATGTCATAGCTGATACGGATCTGTGTCCAGAAATGGTTTCTAGAGCTACTTGACCCTTCATCGCTTGAAGACACAACTAACGAGACAAAAAAGTTGTCCACGTGGAGCTCTCAGTCTAGAGAGCATCCATCTACCCTGGTCCATTGCCCACTGTGTGCGAGTGTGGATGAGGAAATAGGTTAACAAGACCTGGTTTTTCACGGTCTCTGTGGGACAGTGGATTAGTACGCAGGTGGTTGTCAATACAGCGTGTTAGATGCTGCAGCTGAGATATGCAGAAAACTCCATGAGCTCACGGAAGAGGAAAGGTGGTTCTAGAAAGAAAGCACCTGTCAGGTTGTCTGGGATGCATAGGACTTCTCAACGTGGATCTGCCCAGGGAGGGGAGAATGGAGTAGAATACTTGTAGACTTGAGCCTTGGAGAGGGCAAAGGATGAGATTGGTGCAGTAGGCAGTGCCGTGAGAGTACGGAGGAGAAAAAGAGTTTGGGGAGGAGCCAGACACTTGGGCTCAAATATCTGTGCTGTCCTTCATTAGCCATTTGAGTTTGGATGAGTGACTTCACTGCTGTGCCTTCATCTTTTCATCAGTAAAATAGAGGTAATCACACCTCTTAGGAGGCTTAAATGAACAAGCCCGAATCATGTGAGTCATTTTTAATGTCGTTAGCAGCTTTCTGTGATCCTTTGTGAACTGGTGGACAGTGTTAGGTGGTGAGCTCAGGATTCATGGGGCCCAGAAAGAAACCCCCACTGTTCAGGAGGGCTGAGATACCAAGCGCAGGGCCAGAGGGGCTGAAAGCATGCCGCAGGGAGGCACTGTGCAGTAGCTGGTGTGGGAAGCATGGCTGTCAGTCGGGATGCACTTCCTGCAAATACTGTCCTGGGGGTGGTCAGTGGCTGTCCAGCCTCCAGAGCCTTCACGTCCTGCACCAGTGCTCGGAATAGGAGCTATTGTCCTCATCTGATGGGTCACTGTAGCTCTAGGATTCAGGTGCTTTGGCTGAACTCGCAAAAGGTATTGCTGTGGGGTGTGTGTGCTTGTATGCGTGATGTGGTGTCTGGGAGCGTGAGTCTGCCCAAGTCTGTTTTCAGGCCAGAATAACGCACATTGTGCTTCTTCCACAGATCCGGCCCCACATCGCGACTCTTCGCAAGTACACCTATGGCACA